CCCAACCACCAAAACACAAACTGACAGTTTCACCCTCTTATATGGACAACCATTGTAAATACATGCACAGACAGCTGAGAAAGTCATTGTGAGAGATCAGTATTCCTGTCACGTGTAACATCAAAGGTAGCAATGTATTATTGATTCTCTGTTTACTGCGAACCCATACGTTACATGATCAATACTGGCCCATCTTGTTGAATCTGTCATTCATAATAATCACAACATGTAATAAAGTAAAGGAGAAGAAGGTGAAAATTGTCAATAGCAATTTCACACCCTTAATTTGGGGCATAAGAAACAAGCAGTTTAGAGTGAGTGAGTGAGTGAGTGCTCTTTTGGGTATCAAAGTGGAGACACCAGGAATGTACTTCTCACGCTGTATCCCATATTAAATCCATATCTCTGCTGAAACCATTCAGTTCTGTCCTGCTTGTGGGGAGAGAAAATGGGTGAATGTTGTTTTACGTAGCAGTCATTACTCAGAAAACATGGTGGTTGATACAAGGACCATTGTTGCAGAACAGGTAGATCACACAATCTAAGCTTCATGCAGATCGGCTGTTTCAGTTACCGTGGATAGAAACTTATTCTACTCTTAAACGTTTCCGAGAACAGTCAGTTAATATGTTCCATCAAGAATGGCATTCGACTCTCGAAAATAGTTCAAGGTATGATCTATATAGGTCCTTTAAGAGCCTTATCCAACCAGAAATATATTTATCTGTATTGACATCAAGAAATATCAGACGCACATTTGTTCAGCTCCGACTAGGTTTATTAGATTTAAGTATTAATAAAGGTAGAAGATTGCCTATAGAAAGAAATATGAGAATTTGTCCATTATGCACTTCATCTATTGAAGATTAAATTCATTTTATATTTGTATGTCCATATTATGATGATCTTAGAAGAAAATATATTTCAAGTAATTATCTATCAAAATATCCAACGATAGCCTTTGTCTCGATTCTCACTTCCAGAAATGAAACTGTTATCCGTAACCTTTCTCTATTTGTAAAACATGCTGTTGTCTTGAGAAATGATAGGTTATCTAAGCAATAACCATTATAATTGCCATTGTATTATGTACTGTAGTTATGTATATGTATGTAACTCCTTGTATATGGGCCGGAGGCCTTGAATACAATAAACTTGACTTGACTTGACTTGACTCTAGAATATCCATAGAAAGGCCTGCAGGCCTACCCTGCCCTGTAACACCCACAAGGAAACCAGCAACAAAGTATTGACAATAGTAACGGTGGGGACCTCTTCTACCACAGAATATCCATGTTGAGACCAGCAAGCTTGAAAGGGAAACCAGCAATGGTGTTGGCCTTCAAACGACCTCTTCTGTTCAGAGACGGGCATGAAACTCCTGAAATCCCTACAGCAGAACACTGGAATGGAATGCATAATGACCTCGTGGACCAAGTGGTCAACATTTCTGTTTTGGACAAACATGGAGCGAGTGAGTTTAGTTTTACGTTACTTTTGGAAATATTCCAGCAATAACACTACGGGGGACGTCAGAAATGGGCTTCACACATTGTATCCATGTGGGGAATCGAACCTGGGTCTTCAGCCCAACAGGCGAATGCTTTGGCCACCGGGCTACCCTACCAGCTCCTTACAAACATGGAAAGATACAAAGACATCAACTGTTGAATATTGATCAGCCTGAAAGATAACTGTTTGTCTCCTCACCGGAGGTTTTGATAGCAGCTCAAGTTCCTATTTCTTCCAAATTGATTTTCTTCTGTCTGGATTGAAGGAGAACATATCTATTTTTGTTCCACCACACTGGCCAGTTCCTTGACATCGTCAGTTGAATGGGTTACCCACAGGCAGGTCAGTGTGTGTCAAGTCCTGGACAACCAGCAACATTCACCTCTGCTATCAATCTGCTTGTCCTGGAACCCTTGACCCCATACTGTCCTGGAACCCTTCCTTACCTCTACGGCTTAAGTTTGGTTTGGTTTCCATGGCAACCACATGCTAAACTTCTGGCCATTGTGCTCTAATGTATGGAGATATTTTGATTGAACATAATGGCTCAGGCTAGAGTGTGGTAGGATGGAAGATATGTTCCTCCAAGTTTCCACATCAGTAGTGCTAGCTAGGTGACACCAAGTCTTCCACCAAGTGGCTCAGAAAGCCAGGAACACTAACATCTACTAAAAAGGAACATAAATGTTAAGCTCCACTACTAGCTATACATGTGCCAAATAATGAGACATTTTGAAAGTCCACTGCGTAATAACAGCAATGAGAGGTTCCAGATTATGTCTACAATGGCAGCAATGTTTAAAACAGACTTGCATGTCTGTGAGCACTCTCCAGAGACAACAGTGCTTGTACATTAGTTCATGCATACGTCGTAGTTTCAGTGTAGATGTCGAACATGCACAATGGACAAACATCAAGACACGACATACAATGTACAATAGTCATGGACTGTAAACGCACATGTTGCTGTTATTATGTATACATGATTTATTATAGAAGGCAGACAGACCAATCTACAACGCCTTAGAAAATATAAAGAACTTCCGCCATTGTCCTTGATCAGAACGCAGCCCCGAGAAATCTCTGGCCTCACATTCACCTGCCTCTGTGCTTGACTTGTGCATGGCCAGTGGGTGATTGTACCCATGTATTTGTCCAACCTGTCAGAGCTGTTACATGCACACACCTACAACAGTTTGGCGCTGACAGCTTCCACCACTGGCGCCATCACCTGTCAGAGCTGTGACATGCACACACTACAACAGTTTGGTGGTGACAGCTTCCACCATTGGCGCCATTACCTGGCAGCGACATGTACTTGTGAAAATGGCCAGGGGTATCAACAGTTTCATTCAAAGAGTGAAATATCTCATCAGCAATGTCAAATGCAGTGCCAAATTATCCCATACTGAAATCAGATCTGGATAACGTTTAGTAGAATGTCACAGAGCTCATTCCTTCAGTTACATGGTGGAGGAAAGCTGGTTTAAAATCCATCCCCCAACTGACAAAACAAACTTGTATGATCAATCAACCCTGAGTCTGTTGAGCTTGCAACAGGTGAGTACCTATAAAGGTGAGTTCTTTAAAGGGTAAGCTCTTTCCCAGGTGAACATGCCAGCCGTCAACAGCTGGCTTATCAGGCCAGTTTACATTAATTTGTCAGGTTATTATCCCAATCATCCATATACAAGGGGCGGTAGGGTAGCCTACAGGTTTAAGTGTAAGCTTGTCACGCTTAAAACCCTGGTTTGATTCCCCACATGGGTACAATATGTGAAGCCCATTTCTGGTGTCCCCTGCCATGATATTGCTGGAATATTGCAAAAAAAACATACTCACTCACTCATTCACCATATTCACCTTTCTCCAGGCCCCAAATACAGTTAACAAAATCACAATTGGTGTTCCCTTTCTTCCTTATCTGATGAAACAACAATGTATGTTTCTATACTCAACAACCAACAAAAAGCTGATTCTGGTCCAGACAAACTGGTGATTGAAATAATGAGCAATGTCCCTTGATGTCTGGGTACAAACCGATCTTAGTGCCGAGGTGATTGTAACCGCCATACCTCAACATGAACAATCATAGCATTATGGTTGCTTTGTACAATATAATTATAATAATGATTGGCCACTTATACAGCGTTGAACTCCATGCCGCAGGGACATGGTCTAAGTGCATACAACATTTATTACCCCAGATAACCCAAGCTGCCTGTGAAGCGTAGAAGGTTAATAGTCATATGACTCATGCTACCGGGTACCCATATTCTGCTGTGTGAACAGAGGCAATTTTGAACAAACTCACTTGCCTAAGGTGAGGCCACATATGTCACATGTGATTGTTGTTGGGCAGGACAGAAGTCCTGGAAACTCTCAGGACTGAAGCTGCCAACAACGGCCACCCATCCAAGGACTCTCCACATCCAACGTTGCTTAACTTCACTAGATTTGTGACCTGCACTCTGTGCACAAGACCACAGGTCACCAAGATGGCATCCAAACCTCATACAACAATCATTGAACCTACATTCCACACCAGATTCCCTCCCCCCCCCCCCGTCCCCCCCCCCCCGGGAGATGAAGTCTTCTATCTTGTTAAATGTGCCAGCGCAAGTGGACATACAAATTACCATCATGGAGGACTGTGGTATTTCTATGACATGGTAATCTCCAGGTCATTATCTTAAAACATGTATCTGTGCAGTATCTTCCTGTCAGAACAAAACACTTCTTGGCAACACTCATGCCCTGTGAATGTCTGTATCATCTCGTAATTAAATTGTGGGTGGATTCTACAACAATTTCCTCCTTCCAGCATTTCGTTTTTGTAGAGACAAGCATGCAATGCCTCTGTCGGTGGAAATATCTGACAACACACGTCTTATAAAAATTCAAACCTTTAACTAATCAGTTTTCATTCTGCCGAGGAATCAAGTGGTACATGACAAATGGGTTACCTTTGAAAGGCAGCTCTCAGTTTTCAGACACTGGAGGTAACTGCACAAAAACCTTAATCTTATAGGAAATGTGATGTTTCTAAGTACATTCACAGACAGAAGCCTCTGAAACCCTTGTTCTGTTAGATGATGGTGTAGTATATATCAGTATAGGTTACCTCCTTGCTTTGTGTCATATGTCACATATCTCCATATTAAGGCCACTTATCTATCTCAAAAGTCAGGAAATACTGGACAAAAATACTTGTCATTTAAAAAAGGTTTTTCTCAAAACTTATGTTTGCTGGACAGTCTCCAAAACAAAAGTCGTTCATCCTTTCAGACATAGCAATTGTAGGAAAGATCATTTCTCTGCACCGAAACGCCTCTCTGTCTGGGAATACAGAACAGTCAGTCGCCTACCACTAGCCAAGCATTCCACATCGCTTGGTACACTGATTTCTTCACGTACTGGAACCTGTGTATATTGTTCTCAGTGCAGTTTTTATAGTCTACAAATCATAAATACTAATTTCTACTTACCAAAGCCAATATTGGAGACTCGGAGCCCAGACTTGCCCAGGTTCCTGTAAATAGAAAACACATGCAATGAGGGGTGATAATTGCCAGGAATTAAGGCAGCTGAGCAAACATTAGTAGCATCAAAAGAAGTGGTCGGTGATGTAACATTAGGCTGGGGGACATGGTGGCCCAGCTGTCAAAGGCAAAGCAGTTCCCTTTGCAAAATTGTCTCCCTTGGGAATATCAGGAAGCTGAATCCACAGGTTAGAAACCTGATTTCTGATGTTTCTGGTTTTGTCAGCACCGTGGGCTTCACCAAAATGGTAAATGTCTGAGATGTGAGTTTCATCAAGCTGACATGCAATTCTCGTGCTAGAATATTCGTCAAATCAGTGCTAAACTCAACTAAACCACTCACATTATACTGGATTTGCAGAAATGATTTTGTAGTTTTATTGAAAGTGGTTCAGATTAAGATTCATGGTTAGAAACGGTCCAAAGCAATCAAGGTCATCATATGTGTTGACTAACTGGACTAGGTAACCTAGATGTTCAAACCTTGAACATTGCTTGTAGTATGAATCACTGGATAGTCTGGTCCAAACTCATTCATACAGCTGGTATATTGGTGAGTGCTGCAGTTTAAATACAGCTAATACCATCGAAGTAGTCTATCTCACAGTCCCTGAACCACATTATTTTCCCTACTGCCTACACTAATAAAATGAACATTTACAGAAAAGAAAGTTCCTAAATAATAATCATAAAATATAATAAAAAGGAGCCCAGAGACTTTCTTCATTTTCAGCCTGAAACTGAGGAAATCTAGACTTACAATATAATCTAGACTTGCATGCTCTTTCTGGGATATATTTGCTTCAGGGTCTGTATGACAGACTACCTACTGCCTAGCCCTCCTTACAATGCTAAAGCCCCAATTAAAGTCCAGATTTCTTAAGGTGCAGAATTTCCCAAGGGGGCTCCTTTTCAATTCAAATGGGATTATTTGTTACGATCAAAATTATATATATTCAGAGAGTAAGCATTAGTCTGCCATCAATGCAAAAAACAGTTCTGTATTTAATCAACGGTTAAGTAAGGAAACGTGTTGCAAAAAACAAATGGGCCCACCCTGAAATTATTGTCTGTTCTTAATTATTCCACGTGTTCCATATATCTCCATTCATGATATGCACAACCCCCTGACAGACATAAAGATCAGCACTAGGACATTGTGTCATTTAAACAACACTTTACTCATCCGCTAATGGCAGTATCATTATCCAGGACAATTTAGCTGTAAATGATTACCCTAATTACAGAGACACAATTAATGTCTCCATTTCCCACGGAACATTAATCACCTCTTGTAAACTAGACTGGAAGCGGGTATCAGACCGGACCAGGGCACCAGACTGGAACGCGTGGCAGACCACAACGTACACCAGACACTGGTACCGGGGTTTGTTTACTAATGCCACAGTATATTAAGCACAGGTGAGATGTATTGCAGCTAGCCTAACAACAGCTTGAAGATTATAGTCCGTTTGGCTCAAAAGCGGACCGATGAATTGCAATCTAGCTCGAAAACTAATAAACATAAAATACTCAATGAAACACTGATCATAATAAAAACATCATACCCACTCTGTGAGGTGTTTGCAGAATTTTTGTCCTAAAATTAAAAAAGTTGTTTAACAAGCTATCATTAAAATATTGACACAGTTCACTATTTGTTACGTCTCCATCCGTTCTCGAACACCTGGCTGTCCCTTTCTCTGCACTCCTCCCTCGTAACAAACAGTGAACTGTGTAAATAATTTAATGATAGTTTGTTAAACAACTTTATTATTTTTAGGACAAAAATTCTGCAAAAACCTCACAGAGTTAGTCTGATGTTTTGATTATGATCAGCGTTTCATTGAGTATGTTATGTTTATTAGTTTTCGAGTTAGATTGCAATTCATCGGTCCGCTTTTGAGCCAAACGGACTATAACTGCAGTGATATAAAAGAATGGGTGCTATATAACGTCTCGTGTCTATTACACATCAGTGTTTAAGTCAGGTTATTTACAGGCAAACACCATTGTTGAAGGAGCATTGTAAACCAAAAGTCACTGTGTTCTTTAATCTGATTGGTTGAAAAACGTGATCAAATGGTATTCGATTCCCGGAAATTCGCTGCGTATTAATACATACAAACATCGCTCACACCATTGTATTGTTACGTCGTCAGCTGTGATGACGTCATTAAAATCATATTGTGATGTAAAGTCTGAATGACGTCACAAATGAACAGTTCCAGATGCTACCATGGGAGACAGCCGAAACGGCCGGCTGATGACATTTGACTGCTATACCCGTACTCAATGTCAATGAGTGCAGACACAAAAACGTGTGTAGACCTTTTGGTTAAATTTTGTGTTTACAATGTCGATAAACATCATTCATTGGCCAATTTCCGGGTGTTATTGAGTATTTGAAGCACAGGAATATTTCATTTGAAACCTCCGGCTGACGCAGTCGGTTCCAAATGAATTCCCGATGCTTCAAATACTCAATAACACCCAGAAATTGACCAACGAATGATGTTTATCTCCTAAGTGGAGTAGCCCTGTGGTTAAAGCATTGGCTTGTCACACCAAAGACCCGGGTTCGATCCCCTTTTCAGCCAGATCACAATAAATATCATTGTACGGTCCACAGGACACAGCATAGAAATAGAACCCAGGGTCCCAATCCACAAAGCGTCCGTAACGTTACGACCTGTCGTAACTCTATAGTTTATCATAGGTTTACGACCTGTCGTAACTCTATAGTTTATCATAGGTTTACGACCTGTTGTAACTCTATAGTTTATCATAGGCTTGCAAATGTCGTAGCACTACTAACACTTTGTGGATCGGAACCCAGGTCTTGACGAGTGCATACCTTAACCACAACACTAGCACACACAGCAGGTTTTGCTGAACAAAAGATCTGCAAGAACATCACAGACTAATAATTACATCTTCCTCCCATCTCACTGGGTTTCCTTTTCAATTTTAAAGGAACTGTTTGTTTCTATCAAAATCATCTATATCCTGAGACCAAGCATTAGTGTTCTGAATCCTGCCTGCCCACCACTACGGTACCACCTCTGTTACACCAAGAAGACTAGTCTGTCTCACAGTCCCTGAACCACATTAATTTCCCTACTGCCAAGCCCTCTTTGCAATGCTAAAGCCCTAAATAAAGCAAGTCTAGATTTTCTCAGGCCTTGAATCTCTGGTCTCCCTAGGGCTCCTTTTCAATATAAATGGGCTTGTTTGTTACTATCAAAATTATATATATTCAGAGACTAAGCCTTAGTCTACAAGAAGACCAAGGCAGGCTGGACAAAACCAGGCCAGACTGGCCGAGGTCATGGTCATCAGGTAAATTGATCCCAATGCTGAAGCTCATTAAGCACTGACCTGTAAGTAGCCTTCTGATCTGGCCCCAGTTGTCAGTAATGGCCAGCTCTTTACATGACAGTAATGTTCACCCAGCTCCCCTGATCCTGTTTAAAGGGGGACTGATCTTGTTAAGGGGGATACCTCCTGCAGCCTCTACTGCTTCATGTCCTTCATGTGCCTTCTTCAATCTGATTGGACGGTTTAGCTGGGATCAGTTCAGCAAAGTATAAGCTAATTCCACATCATATTGAGGATCAACCTATCTATGGCTAACTAGCTGCAGGAGATACAGTTAGAGGGGATTGTGTTCAGGCAAACTGGCTATCTAAACAAGTCTGATTCAAACCTTTTTGGAGATTTACCCTAGTTTGTCTCGTGTTATCTCAGAACCATACTATTTTCCCTTCTGCCTGGCCCTGCCTGCAATGTAATTGCCCAAAATGAAGCAATTGGACACTTCCTGGTCTAAGATCACCTGATATCTCCCAGCTCAATGAGGCTCGCTTCCAATGTAAATGCAGCCATTTGTTTCTATCAAAAATATGCATTTATAAAGACTATGTATTTGTTCAAGGGCTACCCACCCCTGTCTAATGACTTGGGCTGTCCATTGAACTTCTAAGCTCCAGTAATCAAAGATATTTGGCAATTTGGGAATTAGGTGAAAATAGGCAGGGAAATTAGACAAAGTGAGTATATACTTGTCAGACTATCAGAGGAAGATAATATCATCAGCAGAGTATAGTCAGAATAGTTACTCTTATTTTGAAAACACCCCCGTCAAATTACATGGCCTGTTCCTTTAAGGCCCTGTGGCCCAGTGATCCCAGATATCAGGGCGATCTGAACTTTGTGAGAATTAGGTGATGTGGCCTGTAATTGGGTTGTAATTATGCGATGTAGCAGTACGCCTGTTGTTTTATGCATATTATCCCTGCAGGCAATGCGTACAACAATCAACAGTGACAATGTGTCTATTTCACACGTTCCACACTATTAACTCAAAGTATCATGGGAATTGGATGACAATTCCAACAGCTTAAAACATTTTTGGTAGTAAACTTTTACTGTTGACTATTACTGTTCCAGCTGTTTATCTCCCAACAATTGGATCACATACGTCAACCTGTTACTATAATCACAACCAAGGAAAGCATGTACAGTTTCTACTTGATGACCTGTGATTATTGAGCATTACAACTAGGCAAGTGGACTAGTTCTGGTAGGTGTAGACTAACACTTACTCCCTGAATATATATAATGTTGATAGTGGTAGGTGCTGCTGCACAGAAGCAGTCAGTAAGGAGGTCATGTGGTGAGTGAGTGAGTGAGTGAGTGGGTGGGTGGGTTCTTGAGTGAGTGAAGTGAGTGTGTGAATGAATGAATGAATGAATGATTGAATGAATGAGAGTGAGTGAATGAGTGAGTGGGTGGGTTCTTGAGTGAGTGAGTGAGTGAGTGAGTGGGTGGGTGGGTGGGTGGGTGTGTCAGTGAGTGAGATGTGGTGAGTGAGTGAGTGGGTGGGTGATTAGGTGAGTGAGTGAGTGTGTTGGTAGGTGGGTTGGTAGGTGGATTCTTGAGTGAGTGAGTGAGTGAGTGAGTGAGAGAGTGAGTGATAATAAGCATT